CCCACCAAACTTCCGATGGAAGTCCCTCAATTCTTCTGAAGAACTGTTCTGGTTTGACACATGTAACAAGCGACTCGATTTATGGACTGTTAAGCTCTCCTGTTGCGGCGACCCCTCAAAACAGCGTCCAATGTGACGTGCGCGCCATTCGCACCAAGACCTAATGCATTCAGCGCAAAGATTCGAAATTTAGCTAGTTTGCGCGTCACCGCATTGCCTGAAGTACATTCTGGGCTCTATGTAGGAACTTTGCAACATAAGGAGAGCTAAGTAACGTACCTCTCTAGCCTTCCGAAGAACTTGGCTGAGTCCCTTCTTTATCCTTCTTCGCAACTTTAGTGCTCTCCGTTTTGTCTTTAGAGCTCACTCTAAACATTACAATGTAATATAAAATATATCTGATCTATAACTAGAAAGTTCAAACACGCAACCACGCCCTCTCCTCTCCAGGATATGGATGTATGCATCATCTGCTAAGTTTATTTACAAGACATTCAAGCTAGAGCGCCGGTCTCAAATCCCGCCCGCGGCCTTGCATAAGATCAAAAACTTGACAGCAGGGCACAGCGTTCGATGGGGATTCCCTATGGGGGGGGGGGGGTCGTATGAGGCCGCCAAAAGGGGGGGTCGTAAAAGCTCGACCAAAATCCCCATCGAATGCTGTGCCCTGCTTGACAGGCGAATTCAGACTGAGCTGATATCGTCGCTGTTGTTCGGGGCGGTCTCAAGATGGATGATATGACCTATCCGCTGCGTTTCCACCACTGATTGTTTTCTTCTGACAGGTGATAGAAACTGGTGGAAGAGCGAACCGAAAGCGAGCCCACTCCGTCCCTCCCACCTCCCCGGCACCACCTATACACCCGCCAAAAGGAACAATAAAAAGTGGTCTAATTCTCTGGAAGCTGGGTGAGACCCAGCTAGAATAGCTTTTCGGCCCCAAAGTCTGCCGAGCCCCGCGTCAGAACGTAAGACTCATGAGTACCCCATGTACCGGGAACAGTATAGAAAAAAGGCTTCCTCCCCTAAACCAATTACAGGGCGTAAACCGCTCAGAAGCTTCTCAAATCTCAGAACAACCGAAAAAGCTGCTCATGGGCTAACAATAAGGGGACGAGCAGAATTGTCAACCAACGGACACGTACTGGAAGCTCACATCACGGATTTGATGATGTAAGCCAGGAAGATTAAGTGCGACGTCATCGGGCTGCGAGACGAGGTGGCATTGCCCGCTACACGCCCTTCCATGAGCCTGGAGAAGAACTGTTTCTCGGAACTTGTGACAGCAGAGGCGCTGGCGGTGTGGGCGCCCCCGTTAACACGCTTTTAGCCATGATATCGATTTTCACGAAAACCTGAGATGGGATCACCCAAACGGAATGTTTCCCATTGAGGAGATGTGTTTCAACGCCGGCTTTGACAGTCTTCGTCGCCTACGCACCAACATCAAGCTACCACGGAGCTCGAAGCATTCTTTATGGAATTGGAGAAGTTCTACGAAGAGGACCATACCTTCTTGAAGTAATCGTCGGCGATCTCAACGCTAGGACTGCTCAAGTAGGACGGCTGAATAGCTCCACAGAACTCACAGAATAAAAGGGGGGGGGGGGTAATCTCGGTGAAAGGCTGACAGAGTTTATCATGTCGACCCATACCATCCATGGTAACTCGCAGTTCCAGAAGCCCTACTCTCTACGCTGGACATGGGAGTCTCCTGGTGGACAATTCCATAAAGAGATCGATCACCCTATCTTCAATCAAAAGTTGTGTCCGACCGATGTGCGTTCCTGAGTTCTACACGAGATTGGATCCAGCGCCAATGGTGGAAGACTGAGTGGGGTATGGCTGCAAGCTCTCTCGCAGCCCTTCCACCAATGCCGCTGGCAACACTGCCTGCCCCAGCAATCGTGGCTCCTGTTTTGGGGTGTGGACACTTGCTCTATCAGAAATGGCTTTCCCATCAGTAATTAACATTTTCTCTCGTTGTTTCTCAGTTCTCTCTGCACTGCCTGTTGTTTTATCTCCCTGAACTTCCTTCTCAACGGCCTCTCCTGATCGTTTTTTCGAAGCATCTGTCACCTGAAATTTGAAGTTGATACTTTACCGATTCTTCCTCGTGAAACCGCATATTTAACTCTTTTCGATTAGCGTATTACATTCAGCAATTAGGGAATTTCAATATAAGAAGGTTACCTTGGGAGCAAAGGGGAACTGTAATTTGTTCGGTGGATATTCTTGGATTAATTTTGATGTGTAGTCCGAAAATTTCAACTCGACTCGGACTTTCGTGTACATTGGAGGGAGCCGATCAAGGACCTCCTTCACTTCTCTGCAAAACTTGATCATCAACTCGGTAAGAAAATTTCTTGCATATATGATGAGCAGCTCAACGCTACTTCCATACTAGGCTGCATTCATACTTTGCGGCAGCGTCCACCAGCGACCATCAGCGTTTTGAGCGTCCGTCAGCGTCAGCGACTAGGAAAGTATAGATATCGATCTAGCGAACGGCAGCGTCTACCAGCGTCCACCAGCGACCATCAGCGTCTCGAGCAATTAGGAAGGTATGGACATCGATCTAGCATCCACCGGTGTCCATCAGCGTCGCACAGTACTGCCACACGATATCGTGCTCATCGCTGTCGTACTGGTCGCTGGCGGACGCTGGTGGACGCTGCCGCAAAGTATGAACTCAGCCTTACAGCGTGGAAACGAGTACAGTGACGAAGTACGCCACTATCTTTTTGCACGATGTGAGAAGCGAATCCTGTCCATGCTTCCCAATGCTCAAATCTCTTTTTTTATCTGAGTGCTTCCAATTTTCGGCTTCAGGGTATGAGAAAGTTGACTGTTTTGGCATATTGTCACTTGTTGAATTCTCATGTCAGGAGCATTCAACGATTCCTTTTGGAAGTCAGATATGTGGCGTATACTTCAAGGGAACTGATAAGTCCTAAAGATTCGCGTGCAGTCCTGTTGAAATGAAGCAGCGTTCAGGCTTCGTAATGACGGGCGTCGACACGCTCTATTGGCGTCGCTTGGGTCTACGGACAACTGAACTCAATCCCTTTGAGCGCGCCAATCTTCTCGATCTTTTTCTCCGCACTGCTCGGTCGTCCGCATGCACTCATGGTTGGTCTCGCCACTCCAGCTTTCAGCCCACTATAAGTAGCTCACCACCGGACGCCTCGCCTTGAGATAGTCGCGTTCCGTTGCATCCGCCATAAGACGTTTTTTGCACATTTCGCAATGCTTTGGACCCGCCGCCCTCTATTCCCGTCGCGGCTCAGCAGTTTCGTAAGCAGAACCAATGCACAAAAGTTTGAAGAGTGTCACGTAACCGCGCCGCTTGTGTCACACAGCAGTCATAGTATCGATCGACACTAGCTGCTAAGGCGCCCTGTGATCGCGCCTATGGGTTAGAGCTGTTTGTGGCGCGTTACAGCGCGTCAAAGCAAAATCTGAACCCTGCCCCATAAATTTGCTTTGTTCTATCGAAAGCACACACCTCGCTCTGAGGTCCATCTGTTCAAGTGAGATAGAGTTCATGTAGGTTTGAATTGTGGTGATCAGCGCACTTCCAATTAAATGAACGCATGTCCTGAAACGAAGCTATTATAGTTACCGAGATCTTTTCGAAGATTAAGCCAGCAGATTAAAGACAAAGTGCGCAGTCATCTTAAAGATGGCATCGTGGTATCCTTCCCACGAATATATCATGTGGGTCCTCTGCCACGTAAGACATGTTTCTCTTGCTAGAACCCCCATGCCCCCCCCCCGCTCACAAAAGTAAGACTACTGCTTGGCGTCGCGACCGGTGCTCTCGTCGGGAGACGGCAAGAGAATCGTAATTTGCCGCTCCGCCGCGCGCGGCGATGGGCGCGGCATTTTCTTAACTCGTTGTTAACCTGTCGATCGGAGCACCGGATTTCATGTAGACCACGTCATGGTAGACATTGATGGCTGTTTTCGGTTCTGAATTGCCTGTTGTCGCCATCTACTACCTGGAGCCATTGCCAAGAGAATCGTATGTGTATTCGCCGCGCTGGCGACGTCGCGCGCGACGCCCACCAGCGCGGCGAATTACGATTCTCTTGGCACATACCCGCTTTCGTCATTGTTTTGCTTGCGGTTGTGTGGCCTCTCACCCGCGTTTCGGAAGACTCAATGTCTTCATTTCACCCTTTTCGTCCATAGCAGGAAAGCAACCGGGCCTCATCCCGAATGATTTCGACTGCTTTTTCTGTTCTTTTGTTCAACGGTAACCCGACCAACACCCATTACATTAAAAAACGGATAAAATTCTTTCTAAAAATTTAATCAGTGGACCAGGTTGTGTGAGAGCCCTACTGCCAGCGACTTGCAGTTACGGAATGAGCCATAAAATGGCCCGAATTACCTGTAATGATTAATCCTGCATTCGAGATGTGGTATATAGTCACGTGGATTAGCAATTACTAAAGCTGAGTCCGTTTCTGATTTATACTCGTTTTCAGTGTTTGCACGAAGAAATTGTTGGAATTCTTTCTGAAACAGCACCGATATAAAAGAGGTAGTGAGAGGGAAAGAACGTCGGGGAAAAAATATTTTTTAGATACCTTAGCATTGGATCGATCTATCGACTTCAGTTGGAAGATTTCAGAAATGGCACAGGTCGCTTCGAACATGGTGAGCGTCATGGGAAGTACGTTGCCAGTACGACATTTTTGAAGTAGCTGCATTAATTATAGGTCATTTTTGATTGGATCAAGTCCAAGTATTCGAAAAAATGGGTGCAGATCGCGCTCGCGAACAATCGATACCAACCGAAGTACGCCTAGTACGCCTGGGTGGGTGAGTCGAAATTTGAAGGCAGCTGAGCAGGGTCAAGCATGGTTCCGGGGAAAACTTTCTCTCCAATACGACCTCTTCATTAACTCCCCAAATACGAGCCACTTCCCACCAGTGGCGGTATACTGCCCCCGTCGACGATTCCCCAACGTACGCTAGCCCGAGGAAGAGCAGCCTAGAAAAGACGAACTCACATGGATGTTTTCCTTGGTCCACGTTTTTGCTCTTTGAATCAGCTCAACTAGATTGGCTGACATGGAAATCAGCGTTCTTAGGCGATACATCGCTGCCATTTCGGCCAGAGTGACCTGAACAAGTGCCGTAAGGTTCTGAAGATCAAATTTAGGTGCGCTTCTGCCCTAGCTATAGCTATGTTAGTAGGTACTATTGCGTTCACACATTGCGGCAGCGTCCACCATTGTCCGTCAGCGACCATCAGCGTCCTCCGGCGACCGCCAGAGTCCTAAGGGTCTAGGAAGGTATGGTTATCAAACTATAGGAAAGTATCGAACTTATCGAACTAGCGACCTCCAGGTTTACCAGAATACGGTAGTGTGTGGTAGTACGGTGCGGTTGCACAAGCCCAATTCCACGACGCCTAATCCAGCTGTCTCATGCCTCCTACTTGCCCATACTCTACCAGCAGTCTGCTATCCTCTTACTTCCTACTGCTCCTCCTACTCTCTACCTCTAGTCGCTGGTGGACGCAAGATCGAATTCCATATTCTCCTAGTCCCTCAAGTTGCTGATGGTCGCTGGTAGACACTGGTAGACGCTGCCCTTCGCTGGATCGATATCTACACTTTGCAAAGTATGAACGCAGACTAACGTAGCACGCAGGATAGCCACAAGAGTGCGCGCTCATTTGCAGAAATGCTTCGACCTTACAATTAGTTGTCTGCGATCTGCCAGGACAGCTTTTGGAAAGGGAAGAAAGCGTAATCATCTTTTTACAAAATACAAGAGCGCCTTATCTGTCCTAACACTCATGTGGTTAATTAGTCCCCACTTACCTCTTTGTTACGGACGTTCATGATATTCTCGCCAGGAGTACTCCACTCCGTCACTCGGGAAGCTGCTTCTTTCAGTCTCGTTACCAACTGATCATGATCACCGCGCGTCGTTATTTTTGCATCACCATCGGCCAGTTTTTCGATTTCTGCTGATCTGATGCTTTTATTTGGATCGGCACCTTAAATTCACAAATGGTATAGAAGGACAGCTAGAAAACCGGTGATCATCTGGTGGAGATCGACACCTCCACGGTGACTCTTGCCGTCCGCGCAATCCGAAGGATGGTAGGAAGAAGAGCCAGTTTCGTGGAGATTGTATACCGCCCGATATGTCTCTAGATGGTGATTACGAATCGTCTTCCATGTCTACTATTGATCGCTCTGAACGAAGTTGGAAGCCTTTCAGGAGAGCATCAGTTTGAGTTTTGGCTAAACGGTCTTCCAAATCAAGCAGAGTGCCCAGCGTTCATACTTTGCGGCAGCGTCCACCAGCGCTCCCAGCGTCCGGCAGCGTCAGCGACTAGGAAAGTGCAGATATCGACCTAGCGTTCTCCAGCGTCTATCAGCGTCCGAGACAGGAGTATGGCGCGATTAGGAGGGCAGACAGCTGGTAGAGTATGGGGAGAGAAGTGCGGCAGGATGCTGATAGAGAGTATGGCGCGATTGCATGTCTGCTACCATTCTATCGCGCCGTGCTCTCTCTCCCGGACGCTGATAGACGCTGGTGCACGCAAGCGGACACTAGATCGATAGACAGGCAGACTTTCCTAGCCCTCGAGATGCTGCTGTACGGTGGTAGACGCTGGAGGAAACTGGCAGAGGCTAGATCAATATCCATGCTTTCCTAGTGGCTGACGCTGCCGGACGCTCGGAAAGCTGGTGAACACTATTGGTCGCTGGTGGATGCTGCCGCAAAGTATGAACGCACAAAACCTCCATGGCTTCACTTAGAGAGGTCCGCAGCTGGTGTGGAACTCAGTGGCGGTCAGATTAGTAGGTATGCATTTCCTTTCTAATGCCTCATCGACTTCCACCTTTGATCCCAGGTAAGTCTGCTGGAAGGAAAGAATCACCATCTCAAATGAGGTCGTAGGCAAGCAGCCTCATCGCGTCGTGGCGCGAGATTCCCTCACCGCGCCCAACCATACCGGCTCCGAAAATGGAACGATTCAGTTGACCCACTTGGTTTTTCTTCTGCAATCTTCGTTTTCGTGCAGTGCTCTATTAACGGCTTTGAGAACAGCTCGTTAATCGTACTAGTATAGTGCGCTAGTGCTGTGCTCTGAATTAATAGTATACTGTGAAGGCTTGAGGGTCAGCGAGGTTCTGGCAAAGTATACACACTCTTGTCCGCTGTGGATGCTGGGGCGTGTCAGGGAGGCTGGGTTGGCGCGCCAAACCCTGTCACGTTGACATGCACCAGCATCCGCAGCGAACAAGACTCTACACACTGGTGACCTTATCTTACCGTCCATTCCATGAAATATATTGTTGCCGCTCTCAATGTTTCTGCTTGTTTGCTTATCTCCGTTTCAGACCTTGCTTCGGACTTTTCCTCCTGTAAAACTTCGTATACCCCATATTGCGAAAATGGGAGGGGCGTTTCTGCCGTACTACATTAGTACATTCATATTTGAGACAACTGACATGATGCTTTGTGACTGGGCAGAGAACTGGTTACAGTTGTCCCGAAACTGCACTATCTCACCAAAAGCACAGCCTCCAAAACCTTTGAAGGCAGGTGGCACGATAAATCTCCAAGCAAGGTATAGCATCGTGATGTGTGAAACTGTGGTGTAGGACGACCCCCCCCCTTCCGAGAGAGGGTGGTGTCAGTACGACCCCCCCCCTGAATGGAGGTCTCGGTACAAACCCTCCCCTTCCCCAACACCTACCTGTCAATTTCCCCCATTTTTTCAGTTTTCCACCCTAAAATTTGTCGAGCGGGAGGGGGCAAGTACGACTCCCTAGATGTTTCACACAACGATGCTCTACCCTGTCTCCCCGACGTGTAGGACTAATAGCAGGACTGACTTCGGCGCCTCTGAGCAAACTCTACATGGCGCCTTTTCCAAGGAGGGTACCTTTATAGCGCTCTATCAAGCTGCAAAATAGCGGCCCCACCGCGCCCTCCTCCGCCCACGAATGTCCGACCGATGCTGATACTTACATCTGTTCATTTGCGAAGTACAATATGAAGCGAAGGGGTTGATATGAAGCGGATGCGTGGATATATGAGCACATGCATTTCGCGTATCTACAGTAGCGGTTATTGGCAGTTATTGGCACGATGCCAACGGGAAGCTCGTCCGACTCCATTTTCTGATTCGTGGAGATCAAAGGCATTTTTGCAGGTTTTTGGGCGTTTCACTTCGCTTTTTCGCGATTTTCCTTATTGGATAAAATCCCTGCTACCATTTTCGAGAGAGTACCAAATTATCGTGCCAACTGCCTTCGATGAAGTATGCAGTAACGCCCACCCCATCTCATCAGAAATATGGGGTATGCTCCATGTCTACGAACGTTTGCTACTAATTTTTTTTCTTAGACGTGGTTGCTATGATTACATTGCTGTTTCCAGAGACTCAGGATAAAGTTAGTTGGGGAGAGAACGCAATAGTGAGACTATGCCACGTCACGCCTGCATGTCTGCTCCTTCTCACCGAAATAGTGTCTGAATTAGTTTTACGTGATTCCTGGCAAGTTTTGAGCTGGGACTTGATTGCGGGTACGAAACTGGTGCTCTACTCCTACTCTTGGTCGGGTAATGTAGCACATGCGCGCGGTCTATGTTTGCCGTCTAGAACAGATGACGTGTCAAAGTGTCCTGACAATAGTACGACACAGATTTCCTCTCCATCTCCTTACTCCTGATGACTTACCTACCTGTGCCTCTTATATGGCCTGGAGCCAGTGACATATCAAGAGAAGACATGATCCAAGTGTGCTGACTTGCGCTGTGCCCCCTTCTCCCCCCCCCCCTATATGCTCCTTTACTCTCTCCCTCCCACATGACAACAGTTCTTTCTCTATTTCTCTTTCTGAAGCTCCGTTCGCACATCCCCTCGTCGAAAGTTTCTCCCTCGGTCCCTCTTTGTCTCCACAACCCGTTACCCATTTGCCCTTGCTGTGTTCAGCCCACAATTTTCCTATTCCCACGCTCCTGGATGTAAGTAATTAGACTCACCTTAACCATGCTTCCTTAGAGATCAACTAAACCTACCTGTTATCTCTTCGTTCGACTCAGCTTATCAGCACTCGCACAGCGAGATAACAAGCTGATCTCACAGGTGAAGCGTATCTCATGTTTACGCTAATGATCAGGTGAGAGCGGCTGGTAGTGATTATTTTCACGTCCCTGCAGTTCCCTTATAAATGGAAATTGATTTTGCGCGCGTACAATCGATGTCTATTTCTGGAAGGTATCATGAGGAGATGGGAGGTGCAACACTTGGCGCAGTTTGGATGATGATAAACCGACCAATCGGAATGCCTGCAGGATACAGCATCTCTACGGGTGAAACGGCGAGGTCACTCCAATCCCCCTTCCCCAAATTCACTCTTTCAGTGTGAACTGCCCTCCCACCATACCTCTTACAATCTTCTCATACCCTTCCAACTGTCTGCCAAATTTCCAGAAAATTTTCCAGTTTTCCGCGAAGGATGAGAGGTGGTCGTCAATAACCAGCTACCCAATTATAGGAATTGGTAATTGTATAGCAGTTCTGCAGTGCCACCAACTAAGGAGTGGGAGGAGCGGGGGGGTGTGGAGGTGTGGGGCATAGCATCCATGAAACGGGATTGATTTTGAACAACTGGAAAGAGTGGAACTCAACGACTGAGAGAATTTTCTCGTAGCTCGAAACGATTTCTCTCGGAGCCTAATACGATCCCACTACCTTCTACCAGCTTGATTTTCTCTACGGTGCTTTCTCTGCTGCGAAGCCGTCAGAATCGGTCCAATATCGTTATGGTGTGTCAAACACTTTGAGTTCACCCTCTTCCCTAACAGCGAACCACCGCTGAGATTCCTCAGCAGATGACTCTGGCTGAAGTACGCTCCTTCTCCACGAGGTGATCATCAATTCTTGGCCACTTTGAAAAAATGCGGCGACGGGCACTGCTCAAAGTGTCCCTGCTGTACGTGAGCACACGGCCGCATTGTTTTGCGCCAGTTTGGCATTACTTCAGCGTTCGGAAGTCACTGCACAGTAGGAGTGCTTGAGAGTACGGCGTGCGCACGCGGTGTGTATCCTGTTAAGATAAGCCCCATTTTGCAGCACGCGACTATAGCCTTAATGAGAAGGTGCTCGCTCTCAGTGCTCCAAGCCAGCTTCTTTTTGCAACATCAAGGGGAACAACCCACCAGGTAATCCAAGAAGTGGTGAGGATGTTCACACATGGAAGAGGTTCATATCGGGTCGTGCGGTAAGTTTGATTTGTTGTCGATATGACTATGTGGATCTGGGTATAGGGTTCGAGGGAGGCCTAAATGGGTTCTTGGTATTGGTGGTTGGATGAGGTCCAGCGAAAACATTGGTGTGAGATTTGGGTCCATGTGGGCAGGTTGGTGGCTGGGTTTCGAGAAAAGAAGCGTGGTTTACTGAGGCATGTGGTATAATTTAGGGCCGGAGACACGACGTAGTTCGAGCAGCAAGCGACCGAACTGGCAGTGGCGTAGGCTACAAATGGAGAAGAAGAAATAAGTCCGTGTTAGCTAATCTGTACTATCAATGAGTCTCAACAGATTAGGACTATTAGTGAGGACAATCAAGCACAACAACGACGAGTGGCAGATAGAAGAATCTCCATTGCACTGAATATATGGAAGCAATCGTTAGAGGCAGAGAACAAGAGGGTGCGTATCAACTTGCTCTTCTTTATTCTTCGGAGTAAAAGGTCTCCAACTATGCAATAAAAATTCCCTTTGCTGAGACTAGTGAATCCTGACAGAAACAGGCCTATGACGCCTTTTCAGTTGAAGGAAGTGTTACCTGCTGTCCAGCGGCGATATGAGGCGTTAGTGAAGCAGAGAAATGCTCTCGTTTCAAACGTGAACAAGCTAAGAGAAGCACTAAATCTCGCCCCGTACATCAGCGAGTAAGCTTATCCTTAGCAATTTTCCAACACCTTCTGGAATGGCAGTAACAGACTGTGAGGGGGCCATGGCTCATCTTTGGTTAATGATGGATGCAGCGCCGTTGCTACTTACTTTAGAGCCACTGAAATGGGCATGTTCTGAAACTGCGGATTGGAACACCTGTACCGGGAGCCCATTGGATGATCGCGGCTTATCTCATACCGCGTCTTAGAAGGCACTCTCCGCCTTTATTCGATGTTTAAAGGCCTTGTTCAAACAAGGTAGTCCTGTCCGCAAGCGCGGAGGATATATCACTTCGCAGCTCAGAAATACTTGAAGAAAGCGCGACCCACTCAGATGGAGTCAACGCTCCGCCCACTAACCATCACAACGTCCAACTTTCATTTCTAATGGCTTCGTAGTGGTGTAGTCGCCCCGCTATTCCGCATGTTGAGGGTGTTGTGTCCCCTTGTCATTACTATTTTCGAGTCGCACTTTGATTCCATGGCGGCCTTCAAGATAGATTGTGCATTAAGTTCATTGGAGCGTGTTGAGAACAAGAAGTGTACAGGTCCGTGCCTTAGCTGCGGACTTGGGATCGTATCAGCAGGGCTGCAGAGTTTGGCGCGGCACCAGTCAGCTGTCCAAGAAGGGGTATGTGACAAGAGAATCGTAATTCACTGCGCTGGTGGGCGTCGCGTGCGACGTCAACCCGAAATGACGATGGTTCCAGGTAGTAGATGGCGACAACAGGCAGATTCAGAACCTGAAAATAGTCCATGATATGTCTAACACGACTAACGGGGTCTACATAGGCCCGATTCTCCATTCGACAGCTAACATGTGGTAAAGGAAACGCCCCGTCATGGGCGCGCTCGGCGGAGGGCAAAATTACGACTCTCCTGCAGCGTTTTTCCTTCCAAGAAAATCAGTGCTTGCCGGCTACTACTAAGGAATGGTGGCCGAGCGAAGCACCCCCCCCCCTTCCGCCCTGTGACACGAAGGCGCCCCCATCATTCCAAAGCGCTGAAGGCTTTCCTGCTAGTTCACTGCCTGAGAACCATATCACTGTTGGCGCTTATTTTTCGCGCTGTTATCTTCAGGACGAATAGCTTTTGGACGAGCGTGAAAAACGGCCACATCCGTTCCTCCATGGAATCAAGTCGTCATTGACTTCAAGTGTGTCCACCTGCTCGTCTCTACCATCGTCACAAGTCAACATTAATGAGGATTGGAAACGATAATGATTTGTCGTATTTTGAACAATTCTGCTCACGAAGGACATAAACAACAACAATATGTGCATAAATGCTACCAAACGATTTTATAAGTTTTGGGTCTTGAAGAACACTCCACTGCATTCTCAAACTGACATTCGTAACTTATCATCTTTCCTGTTCAAGTTCCATAACGGCTGAGAATGGGTACGTGACAAGAGTATTCGTAACTCCCGCCATCATAGGCGTCGGCGTGGACATCGCGGCCCAAGGCAATGAACGATGGTCTCCAGTTCGCAGATATGGCGACAACGAGCCAGATGTACAAGCAAAAGCTAGTTGACAATGTTACAGTTCACGTGAAAATCAATGCTCCAATCGACAGGCAATAGAAATCGAAGAAAGGGTCCCGTCGATTCTATCGTCGGTCAGCCTCAGGTCACCGCCGCACACGTCGCGTCGCGGCGTGGTCGCGCAGGCGACGTGCGCGGCGCGGAATCCCAGGAGTGCATTACCTGGTACTCCCACGTTGTCATTGGAGCAAGGGATTCGAATTGTACCACGGCGTCCTTTGTTAGCATACTGGAATGAACTGCTACCTCAATTTCAACTAATTTATCTACAGCAACAGCACTTGTCAATCATTATTCACTGCTGCCGTGTGAATATTATTCGCTAATCATTTTGGGGACGTTCCCTAGGGAGTTTCTTCCTGGTTTCTGCTTAACGTCAGCATTTTCTTCACGGTTCAAATTTACGTGAAAATTCCGACATTATCTCTTTTTTCTGGCATATGCACGAGGGTTGTCATGTGATTTTTTTTCAACATGAAACCCCATAAACGTGGCTGCTGGAATCCTCAGTTATTTTTAGTGCAACCATTATTGCGGTCCAGTATCTTCGCCATCATTCGAGAAACTATTATCGTGCCCCTTCCCTCATTTTTGGATGTTTGCGACGATTTTCATGTGATTGTTGAAAATGATCCTCGTCGCAGAATGCTAGGATGCAGCCTAGCATCTCAATTTCAGTTCTCGATCACGATCTGGTCATAAATAATGTCTATTAAATCTAGCGCTATTAATGTGTAACATTGCCATTATGTCTCGTTTGGTCCTAGGGATACTACAGCCCCAGGGCAAACATCGCCTCTGCTCTGTTACGCCCTTCGGCTATATGTGGACAGGGGGTCAGGCGCAGGATTCCTAAAAAACACCCATTGGAATGCTGACGGAAAACATTGTTTTCATCGGAAAGATAGGCTCAGATAATGAGGGCAATGGAGTCGATTACAATTACGAAGCTTTGGGTACCACGTACGATGTAGTATCCTTACGGGTGTACTCCGCTGTTGAAACCGCTGTTGCGGTATTCTTCAGTGAGGCCATGTCTTACTCCGATTGCACCAGGTGGAGTAGTATCATCCAGTTACAGATTTTTTTAACGATCCCTGGGAATTGTGGCCCACTCTAGCGTTTCCGCCGCAATGTTCCTTGATTTCCCAATTCCAGTTCGCATGGTGTCCACATATTGTGCTCACTAGACAGCAGTTAAGCGCATTCATAATCAAGAGTGTCTGTGCGAACAAATCTTCGAAACACGGTGTTTGGTAGTCTATTCATGGAGCAGTAAAGGTCAAGGTGTTCTTCATGCTCTTCGACCACTGAGTGCCTTCTTTTATTATACCATTAACATAAACACATTAAGCAGAAAAAACACTTATACAAAACTCTCCTTGTGCCTTCACCATAAAACAACATTGTTGTCTCAGAAACCATTTAACGGCATGTCTAACAATACTAGTGCTAATTAACTGGCGAAGTAGTACAAGGTTAGGTGGTTAACAACCAGAAGCTCAACGAACAATCACAACATAATCTTCTAACCGACTAGAAATTCAGTCCATTGATCCACTGGACGCGGTTACACTCATACAATCAAATGGAATGAAATCGTGGAATTTTATACGCAGAGAGAAGCTAGATAGCTACACTCGAACTGGGTACGGTGCATCTTCGTGTCCAAGAAAGCGCCTACTTCTTCTAGATATCCTACGTGTTTCATGAACAAGGCCTCCATTTTGCTCTGCAAAAAAAAGTGATTATTGAACAATAATTCGATGGAGAAAGGTGGTTGCCATACTGAACAACGACTTTTTCAAAGCAATTGTCAACCTTTCCATGTCATCCTTTAAATTCCTTTCTACCATGACCACTCTGGGGGACTCAAAGTGCGCCGAAAAGCCCGCATTGTGAGACGTGCGGCACACTGACTCTGCTACGCAGGTGATTCGTACTGATCAAGGCCACCGAACAAATGTCTCCATCAACCGGAAATGTGAAAAAAACTAATGAAATAACAATAACGTTGAAGTGCCCCGGTTATGAGTGAAGTGACGCGAGAGCAGACTCCTTACAGGAAGCCCACCAATCTATTTCCAGTAAAGCTTTACATCGCTAAAACCGAAACTGTGCACGAAACGCGAAGGAAAATCCCGGGGAAACCTCTGACGCAAAAATCGATATTTTCCAAAGGGAATTATGATAAACTCACCCTCAGCCTTCATGTGCATGTACGATATCGGAATTTTCACGCTTCACTTCTGACGATGGTTTCCCGTCAGGCCCAGGCTCACCTAAAATATAATTTTTCCGATCTATTCATTTGACTGTGAGATCCATCAAGCCTCTGTCAATCGTATCAAACCACTTGTTGAGGTAGCAATTCGAATTGAGGCCCATTTTGGGAGCACACCATAGGGCTTTTTTTCAACTTTGTAGGCATCACAATGGACTACGGGTACAGAATACTCTGTAGCGATAGAGCTAAATGCTGCTCGGCTTGAGGAGGGAAAGGGAAGGAGTAGTCATTTTGCTGTTCCGTTTGTTCCTTTTGCTACTTCATGTAAACTAAAAGGAATTTTGCAACTTCACAAGAGTTTACAGGTCTCACCTTGGTGAGACCAGTACTTTTGTGAAGCGAAATAGTACATATCAGTAACACAGGTCTTCACAAGGGTCGCCTGTAAAGTGTTTGCTGAGCATCATCCGACGCTCAGCGTCAGCCGAATTGCGCCAAAATAAGTTACTGATCCAGTTAAATGGAGACCACTGAGTGCCGTGAAATACCATCTAGTTCTAAGGTCTTCCTACCGCGCTAGAGATGAGAGATAAAATCGTGGATGACAATAATAGACGATGTACAACCAAAAATAGCCACAAATGTCTCAATGTCAACGATGTCGTGGTCTTCAAGAAATTTACTGCGCCAATCGACAGGTTAATGCGTGTTGAGAAAGCGTCGCGCGCAACGAAGCGATGAATTAAGATTGTCTACTGGGTCCAGCTACCAATCTGAGGGTTCTGAATGTCGAGGAAGCCCTCCTTACTGAAGCAGCGCCGTTTATTTTCATTGAGGTCTTACATCCTCAAGACCAAAACTATGCACGGAACGCGAAGGATTAAGAAAATCCCACAGGCGCAAAATTAAATTTTTTTCAAAAGGAAATCAAAGTAAACTCACGTTTAGCTAGTCCAGGAAGCACTGGGAAGGCTTCGGGAGATTCGTTTTTGCTGACATCTTTGGGTTCACATGAAGTCGCATAGTCACGATCCTTAAAACAATTATATTAAAAAAATATAGATTTTTTTGCTATGCACGATGCCATTCTACAGAACCTGTTAAAGCATTTACTACTTAACCAGAATGTAACTCCGGTGGGATGTATTAAATCGCTTAAGTATTAAGGACTTATATACAAGAACCATCTGTTATGTAATAAAACATCAAAGTCCACACTTATTCAACTCAGCTTTCACAAAATAGGCGATCATTCTGAAACTTTTGAATAAGGACAGCATCTAGTTAAGGCGCACCCAGATGAAAAATGACCCAATAAGGTAGACTTATTATTTTATCTTCTGATTTATTCAGCAGCAAAAAAACCAAGGCACTTACTCCCGTAATCGCCCTTCCTTCGTTATACCAAGCGCGTTGAGCACCATCTTCTTCGTCCGTAACATCATCTTCAGAATCGGCAATGTCAAATCTTTTCACCACTGTTCCTTGAGTGCTTTCGTTGCCAACAGCAGTTTCCATGCTACTTTGTCCCGGTTCATTTTCATGTGGATGAACGGAATCGGAAGTTTCACGCTCCACTTCTGATGACGCTTCACCTTCAGGTCAGGGTTCTGCTGTAATAAATAAAAAATGAACACAATCGCAAAGATCGATCTAGTTGGACAATGCACAAAACGAAGAGACTGCCAATGAAACCAGTTCGTTTTAGTTTAAAAAGCCGTGATGCACTTACCTGTTATAGATTCAGCACAAGGTAACTAATGATATGGATGATGGATCTTCAGCAGACGATCCTTCGCACGCATTAGACATTTTTATAGCTTCTTTTAGAAATATGACACATAACACACACAAGGCCCGAATCTACAACAACATAAAAAATGCGATATTATCTCCTCTTCACTGACAAAAGTTAACGAGTCAAAAAAAAGAAAAAGTAGACTTGCCAATAAACTTGACGGATGAGCGGGAAAGAGTATTTCGCTCTCAAACTGAGGACAGTTGAGGAGCAGGAGATAATTCAATATTACTAAAGTATGCCCAACTCTCAGAAATGAGGTAAATATCGGTAGAACCCCTTAACAAACAACAGGAAACATCATCAAAATGTGATGGCGAGTCCTTTAACAATTTGAAGGAGCCACCACGCAATAGAACTCGTACGCGGCGGCCGCCACGCCGCTGGCTCCGCCCATCGGCGCGATGACCCAATTATCGTCGACGATAGAATCGACCCACACCCGGGTACCTGAGTGCAGCGAGATCGTTGATTTCTCCGCCACTGTAGACGCTATTGAACTCCGCCCGAACCAGGTAATTGAAGGGGTTTAGTTCAGGTGACCTGCTTAGATATTCCATCTTCTTCAGGTACTCAACGCCCCTCCATTCCAAGTAGGCGAGAGTTTTTCCAACGCCCTTCGATTCCATGTGGTGTCACCCAATCCTGTAGCAGTACAAAGTTTCCAAGAAGGTACGGGCGACGACATGAGGAGGATATTCTTCACGAGTTGCTCGATGTAACCGCCAGCGCTCACCTTCAGTCCGGGGTCCACGAAGAAAATATCGGTCTTTCCATTCCAGGTACGTCCGGTCCATACCATCAACCCGCGCCTTGGCGACTGTGGTGAAGATGATGTCCTAGACCGTGGCGACGTTGTCGGAGCTGCTCGATGTTGGAGGTCATCCAGATCGAGAGTACTGGTCTCCAGGTAGCTATCCATGGGTGACTCCATACTAGAAGTTTCGCAGCTGTTTGGAGGTGACATGAATTCCAAAGGTCTTCTCCAGTCAGGCTGCGACTGGAGATGACTTCATATTTTGGTGTACATGAAGGTGATGGCGAGAGCCAGCTCCTGCTTATAGAGGAACATCTTGGATCTTCCGCCCTGGTACTCGTATCCACGTCCTCTGTCTGGGCTGCGAAAACTTTGCTGATATGTGACTCGGTCGAAGTGACTTTTTTTTTGCCCCCCCCCTGTACACTGCGAAGCATAATCATAGTTCCACCCATGAATCTCACAAAATCCCGTCTTACACGACGTTTTCAAAAATGCCCCATATACAGAAAATGTGGTAATTACCAATACCAATTCGCATGCCAACACCAAACTCTAGCTTGAAAAACAATTTTTTTTCGTCAATTTTTTCAAAAATGGTCGTTCTGACAACGCAGCAAAAGTATAGTTCCACCGCATATTTTTCCGGCTGCATCTCATTTTTGTTCGGTGAAACTTCTCATCATTATGACTTCTTGCCTCTTCTAGGCTATGGCAAGTAAAGTTCATTAATGGACCTCGAAAAGGGACAGATTATCACAAATAAGTCTGTCTCAAAAACTGTTAAATCGTCGAATGGCGCGGGATTCGGGCCGCACTCATCATTCTATCAACAATTTTTTCCAAGGGATCTAAAGCATATTGAGTTGAGAAGAGCTCTGGACATCCTCCTTTGCTGCCCGATCGGAATAACCGCCGTATCCTTAGGAAAGCATCCAACTCTGCAGTGTCGTGTCGGGAAATCAAGTCATCTTCGCAGGTTAATGTCTCGGAGGATACTGTTAGGCGTCTCTTGAAAAACTCCCGAGTTCACCCATAGGGGAATATGAGTTACGTACTGTTTCTAACGAAAAACCATCGCGAAAACCTAATTGGCTTTGCTCGAAGATGTTGCCGAACCCAATGGAGTGAGGTTGGCTTTTGGCTGCGGTGCCCTACTGCTTGTCTGTAGTGTTTTTTTTTCCAGTTTTTTCTTTTCTCGCGGTCGTGTTTTCTGATGAGGAAATTCAACTGCGACGGCTCCGACGAAAACCGATTCCGCTGGCACGACCTGAGGAAAGACAAGTTTCATTTTTCCGGGCGGAACTTCAGTGGATGTGGTCTCATGGTCTGGGCTGCCATCGCATGAATGGAACGTCTGAAACTGTGCTCCGTATGAAAAAAGAAATGATTTCTTCCGTCATCTAAAAGTCATGCGACAACGTCTCCTTGCTTTCTGGCGTAGAAATCAGCAAGAAAGTCCCGTTTTCATGCAGGATAATGCACCAGTTCATGACAGTCGAAGCACTCGAGCGTGATTCAGTTGTCACCAAACCGCTCTTTTGCCCTGGCCAGCGAGTAGCCCCGACTAAAACCCAATCGAGGATGTGAGGGGCTTCATGGTGCGTATGATCCATGAGAGTAATGCACAATTCCACAATGTCCGTGAGCTTAGGGAGTAATCATTGGGCAGTCGGCCGAAAGAGGACATAGGGCTTATTACTAAAAACATGGGGAAAAGAGCAAAAGCTGTTTTCAGGGACTATATTTTAACTTCACATAATTCCTCACATAGCGGTTTTGCGGCGCTATCGTCAAAAAAGGGGTGTAGAGTGTGCGGAAGACGGAAAAAGTCCCATCGAGCCGAATACGACCTCTACTGTCTAGTGATTACGGCTGTCCGTTGGGAATCTTCATGAAAGACATTGCTATAAATGAAGAGACGTGCAAGAACAGCCTCAGCGAGTTCGCGCCTGATGTCGTAGTGTCTTTGTCTTGGTCTGCTTTTGGTTTACCACCTACTTCCCACTCAGGAGACCATAGCCTCCCTCAAATTATGAGAATAAGAAAGCGAGGGAAGAGTTCAGTGGTACATCGCTGAAAAAGATCTTTCTTGGCACAGTTCTTTCTTCAAAAAGTACGTACAGTTCTTACTCGAAAAATAGATGTACTTTTCTAGCTGGCTGATTTCGGACTTGCAAAAGGAAACCAAGCATCGACGTTGAAAACATATTGCGGAACGCCGGCATACATGGCTCCTGAGATGATCGATAGCGACCGACTGCCATACAATCCGAAAGTGGACATGTACGTTGAATAATTCAAGCATTTCGTACGTAAATTAATTCAAGTATCATGAATTTTGCATCAGGACAGGAAAGTTCTGAAGATATCGTAGTAATTATCTACAAGATTTTTTGTCAGGTGGAGTCTTGGTGTTGTTTTGTTCACTGGTATTTGCGGCTATCCTCCTTTCAGTGACGATTACACTGATATGGACCTGAAATCCCAGATAAAAACAGGTAAAGTGTTATCATATGAACCTGTCGGCTCGCTGACTGACTGGCTCGCCGGCTGACTTGACGCCTGCTCCTTCCCTTGGACAGCGTTCAGACTTCGCGACGGCAGCGCTTCGATCGTGCGTTCGACGCGATCGATGCAGTAGAATTCGCATTCGTTCGTTGGACGCGCATTGAACGCCGAACTCGCGACCGAAGCGCTGCCGTCGCGAAGTCTGTACGCTGCTCATGTGCAGGGCACGCCATCGTTGTGATCATCACAACGGGGGGGGGGTCGTATTTGCCCCCGATGGAAGGGAGGGGGGTCGTAAAAGCTAATAGAAGTTTGGAAGGAACCCCAGAAAAGAGTGAGCGGCTTAACAACAGTTCAAACAACTGTCGCCTAAACCTACACCTGGAAAAAATGCCGGCTCTAAAACGCAATTTCCTGATGCTGATAGCATTTTAGGTGCTGCAAAACAAAGCGAATGATTACGAGGGCCAGAATCAATGAGCACGTGGTGCACATAATAAACGGCTCAAGAGTTCCCAGATTAGTTTAATACAGCAAAACGCCAATTTCCTGATGTGAATAACATTTGAGGATGTTGCTCATTCTTCAGAGTCCGAATAGAGGGTGATGAAGATGACAAAGGCTAGAAATGAAGAACAACGAATGCAGATGTAAATAAAACAAAAATGAAAAAGTTAAGATACAAATGCTCAACAAAATGCCTAACTTCAGATTCAGTTTCGGCGCGGCGGCATCAATTCCTTCAGTCGGCGCTCGATTCCGGCTCAAAGCATAGAATCTTTAAACTTACGAGCTGGGACGACGGTGGACGACTACAAATCAGATTCATCGAGTGTTGTGCAAACAAAGCCGGAAGATGATGACGAGGACACAACAAGGAGATGGAAGATGAACAAAGAGACGTTGAAGTAAATTCATCATGAAGCAAATCGTTAAGGCAGTGCATGCCAAAAGACAAAAAACTCATCAGAAGTTGAGGAGCCAAAAATGAAGAAGTTAAGATCACAACATCAACAAAATCTAATTTCCAATTCAGTTCGGCGCTGGCGGCGCATAATTCTTTCAGTTCGCCAGATTTCCGTTGCTCCGAAAGCCATAGAAATACTTTGAACTTACGAAGTGGGACGACGACGACTAAAAAATCAGGCTTCAGGTAGTGCAAACAAAAAGCGAAAGATCGATGACAGAGGAACCACCCAAGGATGAAGATGAACAAGAAGAGTTGAAGTAACATCATCATAAGCAATCGTTACAAGCCAAGTGCATGACAAATAGACAAAAAAACTCATCAGAAGTGAGGAACTATGTATAGTTTTTGAATATTAGTTGTTCGCGGTCATCCGCACGCGAGCCCTAATACACGCGCTAATACAAGCGCATTGGTGCGCGCTATTTTACGACCTGGAGCCAATTTCAAGCCAAACACTCGAAAAGTACCCCTCTTTTGAACACCCATATTTTCGTTGAAAGTAATAAGCTCATCGGAGGGGAAAGTGGGAATGAGTGGAGCTAGGTTGGCTCTTGTTGCCTGAGTTTTAGCGATTTCAAAACTTTTCCTTTCTGAGAAATTGCTATCGTTGTGATCCTCTTGTGATCGATGAGGGGGGGGGGGAACGACAAGTCGCTACAAGCGGTGGACCATGGCAGCTTCATTACAAGCCTTTCGTAAAAAAAAAGAACTGATGCCAGAAAGCATTTGAAGCTTTCCAACTTTCAGCGGAAACTTTTGATTTTCTCCCACCGGTCTTGCTATTCGAAAAAACCCCCTTGTGTGATCATAATCCGTGATCACTCCCCACCGGACACGAAAATCAACCCTCGAGGCCATGAAATCTCCAGTTGACTTGAACACTTTGGTATGCTTCTAAAACGCATGTTTTCGTCAAGTATATCAGGTAATAGTTCATTGGGCTCTAATTGGCATCACCTCTGCAATGCGCCATGCATAGGGCTTTCAGGCAGAGGTGTTGGGAAGGTGCAACTTCTAGATAGGGCTTCCTAAGCGCAAGCACATGTGTTCCTGCGATCAGAAAGGTCTGAAAATGTACTTTCATCTGTTTATTGATCGTCACGTCGTGAGGTTTATTTATTGGTTGGTTTTACGCTAGTTTATGGTTGGTTGCCTTTGTTTTACTTTATGAATACTGTGCCCTTTGTTGGGGTGGGCGGTCATCATAGCCTTCTACCACTTCCCTTCCTCGTACGTATTGTCAGTATGCTACACCAGCGCCAGAGTGCTGGACGTGCTTGGGACGTACGTAGGTACTGCGACCTCCCCCCCCCCCCGCTCGACAGCAAAATTTTGTAAAAAAAAACCAGAGATTTTTCGGGAAAAAATGGGCAAAGTGGTAGGAGGTTGGGAGAATCTAGGAAAGTGGAAGGTAGCATGGGGAGGGGGTCGCACTTGAGGATGGAATTAGGGAGGGGTCGTATTTTTCAGGGAATGATCACAACGCAATGGCGTGCCCTGCTTATGTGGTACGGCCGATTTCTCTGCCTGGGCGGCATCTTCTTTATCATGTCTGAGACAATTTAATACGCGGCTTTTCTCGTACCTGTACATATGCTCAGCGTTCTTCAACCATTACCGTCACATCGTCTGTGGAGTGAGGGTAAGGAGCGTTGATAAAATGTACAGATAAGCTCGAAGAAAACGGGTATTAATTATAGCTTCAAGCACACAAAACAAAGTGTGTGCAGAGTCAACTATTGGCCGCCCGAAAACTGGGGTAAACTTCGTGCCTTATCACAGAAAGAGGCGCGCTGGCCTCAGCCGGCAAGCTAAGTGAGCCGACTGGTATCAAATTTACCTGTAGTGACCTATGGTTTAGAGAATGGCTGCCTACTCACTGAAACTTAAAAAATATTTTGCTGCTCCCTTGTTGCTCTCAGATACGGCCTAGGAACGAGCTAAACATCTGCTTTCAGAACAGCAGTTAGCAACTATACCTTTTGCGCTTGCGCGGTTTCAGCACATAGCCAGCGTGAAACCCAACTTGAATAAAATTGAGTGTTCTAGGGCGCCTCATGTTTCATAACCAGTGGAAATACGTGACATTGGAAACGCAATTTGTTATCAAATCGATGCTCAAGGTTGATGTAAGTGTTTTGATTTGAAGATCCTTCATCTTTTTGTTCTGTTGGTCCTATTCTGTTAAGTTCTTGAAAATTCTTGCGGTTTTCGTCCACAAAATTCAAATGCTCATATCTGTGCTTGAATGAAAATTCACATAATCGAAATAACAGCCTGGCTGTTTTTTCTAGAAATCTGGAGACCTAGGGGCCATGAATCCTGGAAACCTGTCAGAATGTGTGAAGAAGCGGTAATCAGGGGAGGAGGGGAGGGGGCATGGCTGGCTGGCTGGCTGGGAGGAAGCGGTTATCGATGGGGTTGGCTGGTAAAAATGGTGGATGTGGGAGAGATTCGAAGCCTAACTCGATCGGTTTCTTCAGGGTAGACGGTGTGACGAGGGATCGAGCGTGTTGTCGCAAGGTAGATTCTGCCCCTCCCCGTCGACCAGTGGTGGGCTCATGAGCTAAAGTTTGCGCTTTTACCTTTTAAAGCCTTCTGGAGTATTTTTCAGCTGCAATGGTTTTGCATGAATCCATGAAGCAGTGCTATAAGCCAGCTGCAGACCACTTGTCCACCACCATGACCATCACTCATGTTTCTTTGGCTTCGGGAATATTTAGGAGTCTTATATTGTTCTCCCCTGGCCAAGACGTCAGCGTTTGTCGTACACAGTGCTATTCAAAAATGAGTCTCTCTCTGCGTCAAATTAGTGCGCAAGGGATCTCGAAGCGGTGATGCTTCTAGCCCAGACTCAGTTTATCAGTTCGCAGCACAAAATTATCAAGGTTCTTCTACATTCCATTCTCCTGCATAAGGGTACAGACCGTCCTATTTGCAACACTCAGTCTCGAGGCTGCTTTCTTTAGTATTTTAGGAAGGTTCCGTCGACTATCGCCCTCAGTCCTCAGCATCCGATGGCCTTCACCAGGGTTATAATCTTCAAGGCTCTCGCACATTTTTTAGAATGCTCTCTCTCTCTCTCTCTCTCTCTTTCTGTCTTTCTCTCTCTAGCTCTCTTTCTCCCCCTCTCTCTCCCTAAGACCAAATACGACCCCCTCTTCCCACAGAAAAGTACGACCCCACGCCCTACGTTTTTCACACAATGATGCTGTGCCTTGTTGGTCACACTCTATTGTAGCACTAAACTGACGGCTGGTAGCACACGGGCCGAAACAGAAGCATAGAACAATTTATAACCTTTCAGAGTTACAGTACATCCTGCCAGCCCCAGGCTCAGTCCAATACTTATGGTCAGAGTACCTATTACTCTTCATCCACGTTGCCTCACAAAGTTAGGAACAAAATCTTAGAAACTGCTGAAGTCTCCCAATTAAAGACAGCTCCCGCGGTAAAAGTGGCAAGAATAATTGCTGATCAATTATGAAACAGTAGCTGATAAGTAATTCCTCAATGAGGGAAAAAGCAACAAGAGCCCTCAAGAACACCACAAAAAATTGCTCCCTTACAGTTACACCGCCCTGCGATCCGTGGGCAACCCCTGGCTCGAAAATCTCTTTATCACATCTCTCAGTAGTGGATATCATCCAATGCAATGAAAAGAATACGAAAAACAATAAAAACTCGGAAGAAAAACTCCTGAAAGGAAAAAACTTTCAAAGACACGGCGTCCGAATTTGGGTTACGGTAGCGAGCGGCTTTTAGTGCATGTTGCTAGTCGAGCTTTTGCACCACAAAAATTGCATCACTCGTGATTTCTATGCGTTTTACCTTACGAGATGGTTGCATTTGACTGTATGTGCTCTCAATGAATGAAATGTGATAAAGGAGAGCAGAGTTATCTAAGGGCACCATCGCGGTCTGCAAAAATGACTTGCAATCCCGAGTATTGCCCGCCGTCCCAACAAAGAGCAACTGAGCGGCTCTCCGTCAGAGGGCAGCTAGCAAGTGAGGCGGTCCAACTGAGCGGGCGTTAGAACTAGAACTTTGAGCGGCTGTAGCTCGCTTCTCGCTCACTGTGGAGTTGCGAGAGTGGGACAGCATCTAGCTTGGGGGCTGAACTACCTGCACAAGGAAGGACGACCATGGGCTACTCGAGCGCGGGGGCTGTCTTTAAGCTCGAAAAGCAGTGTTAGACCTGAAATTAGCATTCACACGGAGCGATTGCGCGACATCGCTTATGAGCACTTAATGACGCAGCTTATATGCTTTTACCAGTAGTATTTGATCATTTTTATCATTGTTTTATCAACCAAGTTTTTCATGTGGTGGATTCTGCGATTTGCAGCCCACCATGCGGCTTTCTGCCAGCGAAGCTCTCAAAAAGTCTTGGTTCCACAATAGTGTTGCAGTAGCCAAATCGAAGGTTCAAGTGCAGCGGTATCTCCAAGCCAAGGTTTGAATCAGGTGTTTTCAGACTACTTCATGCTTAGATTTTATATTTTAGTTGTTCTTGAGAGTTTGAGCTATCCTACCCTCCTCATCATTACGGACTGTCGGGGCGTATCAGCCAGTAGGAGTGCGCACACTGTTTGAAGCCGTTCTCAGCCTTTTCGTTGAAACGCGTATGCGACAAAAAGTGGTAGAAAACGAGTAATACGAAGGATATAATGCTGTCATGTCATTTGCTCGCTTCAACAACTGGTGCAGAAAGACTTTGGCACCGCGGAAAACGCAGCCGCACTGACCCGCCCCGACAGTCCGTAATGATGAGGAGACTACCTCACAGAATCTGCTGTTCGCCTGTTGGAGTGTTTGACCGGAATTTCAGCAGGCTTCTTAGTAGCGGTGGAGCGTTGGCTTAAGAAGTTGCCATAGGGCAGACGGAGTAATCGTAATTAGTGGGTGATAGTGAGCAGATATGGGTTGTTAAGAGGCGTTAGAAAGGTGATCAGCATCAGAGTGCGGGTGGCAGCAACAGTATGACGTTATTCACGCAACATGGGGTTACCAGTTACGTAGCATGCCTCGCCAAGGCATAGTGGAGCTGGACCTTATTGTCCCGGTTATTGGTAGGTCTGATGCAAAGATATGGAACGCGCCAGCCCGAGGAGGGCGCAGGTACGGAGAAAATTGAAGTGGATTGACAGGAAGTGGCAACAACTGATGGGACCTCGCTCGGGAATTGAGACAACTGTTTTTGAAGTCGTTTTCGTTAGATAACTGCTGTTTTACGCCGCAGTACGCGTTACGAAAGTTATCAACAAGAATGCTGAGGGCAAAAGTTCGTGCCCGGGCGCGAGTTGTAACCCGCACCTCACGCCTTTCCGCGAGTGCGCCTATCCGTTTACACACCAGGGCCTTCTTCAGCCCTCTCAGAAGAACTTACACGGCTTATGCCGTGCTTACAGCACTCCACACTTAACTTCGCGTGAGCCCGCTCAGGCCGTAATCGTTAGATATCGGCAATGGAACCGCCGCAGAGGCCGAAGGCATTTACCAAGTTTTTTGAAGTCGTTTTTGTTTGGCCTGCCATAACTCAGCATTCTTGTGATAACTTTCGTAACGCGTACTGCGGCGTAAAACAGCAGTTATCTAACAAAACGACTTCAAAAACTTGTAAAGCCTTCGGCCTCGCGGTTCCATGCCGATATCTAACGATTACGGCTGACCGGCTCACCAAGTTAAACGTGTGAGTGCTGTAAGGCCTACGGCATAAGCCGTTAAGCTGAGAGGGGTTGAGAAGGCCCTGGTGGCGTAACGGATAGCGCACTCGCCCGGAAAGCGTGAGGTGCGGGTTCGACTCCCGCCTGGGGCACGACTTTTGCCCATAACTCAGCATTCTTGTGAGACAACTGTTTTTTTTCACACTGCTCTATGGTCATGCTCATATCCGTTCGTTGAACATATGGCTGGAATCCTGGAAATGAAAGATCGAAGACTGCCCGCTGGCTGGGAGCCGGTTAAAAAGGAAAATTTATGCAGTAAGAAATTCCAGAACCGACTCTTTCTACAGCCTCTGCTAACAATAAAAGATGAAAAACTGTCTCGGGGAGAGCCATCATTTCATTGCCTCCCCAATATAGCCCCATTTCTGATGGCCCCATTTCTTGTCTTAATCCAAGACTAAATCCATGATCACTTTTCAAATATTGAAGAAGATTTTCTGTTTAGAAAGCGATGGAATGCCGTTCTATGGAATGCGGGTAGTGCGGAAATCCACAGGATCCCAATTTACTTGACTCGTCTATTGCTTGTTTTTGTTGAGTCTGGATCTCTCAAAAATTTGTTAAATTTCCATTAGACTTGTAAATTTTGCTCAAAGAAAGGCAGAAGCACATGTCATCAAGTTTCTCATGTGGATCTCATTATGCGTACACCTCCCTCTCTCTTACGTAGTAAGATTGTTCAGAGCTAGAGTCTAGAGAAAATCTATTTGTTGAAGTTGTTTAC